TTCTCCAGCTCTATCCATTTACCAGCAAATGCCATCATTTCATTCTTCTTGAAGGCTGACTAATATTCCATTATGTATACATACCACATTTTCGTTATCCACTCATCTGTTGAAGGGCACCTAGGTTGGTTCCATACTTTAGTATTGTGAATTGAGCTGAGGCAGGGTAATTGTATGGGGTGTATTTATTGGGCACAGTGTGACATTTTAATACATGCACACAGTGTGTGATGAACACACCCAGGTTTTTGCATAACCATCACCTCATTTATTATTTCTTTATGTTGGGAAGTTTCAAAATCCTCTCTACACTACTTTGAAAGACACAATTAGTTGTTGCCAACCATAGTTATTCTACCATGCTATAGAATATTAGAAGTTATTCCTTCTATCTATCTGCACCCCTTCTCATTAGCCAGCCTCTCTCCACCTCCCTCCCCCACATCCTTCCCAGGTTCTAATAACCAATATTCTACGCTCTGCTCCCATGAGATCAGCTTTTTAACTTCCAGATAAAAGTGAGAACATGAAGTGTTTGTCTTCCTCTGCCCGTAAAACTTAATTTCTAGTGAAGAAAATTATGCTGATAAAGGGGCTCTTTTGCCATATGATTTAAATGTGAGCAATCCCCCCAAAACTCATGTGTGGATCAACACAAGAATTTTCAGAGTTGAGATGATTAGATTATGAGAGGTGGAAACTGATCAGTGGATTAATCCACTGCTCAGATTAACTGGGCAGTGAGGGCAGACAGGTGGGGTGTGGCTACAGGATGTAGGTCCCTAGGGTGTGCCTCTGGGGTTTGTCTCTTGTATTTGGGGAGCAGAGTTCTCTCTCTCTGCTTCCTCTTGCCATGTCTTGAGCTCCTTCCTCCACCTTGCCATGAGGTTCTGCTCCACTTGGACCCAGAACTATGGAGTCAGCTGATCATGGACGGAACCTCTGAAACCAGGAGCCCACATAAATTTCTCGTCCTCTAATTGTTCATGGCAGGTCTTTTGGCCCCAGCAATGCAGAGGTGACTAAAATACCCTTAGCCTCCACTTCCTACTCTGATCCCAGAGTAAGGGGCAAAGCCAGTTCCACTGGGCGACAGGGAGAATCAGGGAGGGAGAGAGAAAGAACAAATCATGGAGAGGAGCAAGACTGGTTGACTCTGGAGACAAATTTCAAAAATTACAGGGGGAAGAAATTTGTTTCGAAAAAGAAAGAACTTTCTAACGCTCAGGCTGGAACTGGTTCTCTTAGGAAAAAGGGTGGAAGGCCCCAACCCCACTGCCTCTTTGATTTGCTTAAGATTTGGTCTTTCCTGGTGTTGGAGTTCGCCGAATGTGAATAGATTCTGAACTTCGTGGTCATGTTTGGGGACAGAATTCTTTTGCACACCACCCTACAGGAAGGACACTGCCAGCGAGCTTCCAATCCTGGGATCCTGAATCTAGGCAGCTGGGAGAGGCGCCTCCTCCTCCCTCTTTCAGTAATAAGCCTCTGAGCTTCAGAATGGGGGGCCGAGGTTGAACCCGACGAACGTGAATCCAGATTAAATCCAGGCGGAAATGTTTGCACCTGTTACTGGGAAGCGATTTACTCTTGGCCAACAGCAGGTGTCCTTCGCCCTCCTGCTGAGCTTAGAGTCTGGCCACTTGAGCCTCTGCAGCCACCTGGGCTGAAGTCCAAAACCCATCAGACCACCTGGGGTGCTTTTTAACCGGGCAGATCTCTCAGCCCACCTCCTAGGGTGATTCTTTAGCTATGAGCTGACTTTGATGATAGAGATCCAAGGGTTACATTTTGCCAAACACCAGGGGTATCTTAGATGTCATGTCCCAGGGAAGTGGGGCAATGGATCAGTAAGGGATGCTCTCAGCTAGGATGTGAGTGTGGTCCTGGAAGCACCAGAAGTCCTTTCCCATTGGCCATTCCTGAGAAGGAAGGAGAGCCAGCCACCTAGGATTCCAGAGCAGGAATACATGCTCTTAATAATTAAATAAAGAATCTTAAAAATAATAGAATGTATTATCAGGAGAGGAGAGCGGTTAAAGAATTTGTGTTCTTCAGAGTTTGGCTTCATATTTGGTTGCTGGATAAATGATAGGAAGCTACTTAATCTCTCTGAGCCTGTTTGGTCATACCAGCAAGTATAAAATGATGTTTCTTCAAACTGTTGTGCTATATAAATGAGCCCAGGCATTGATAGGACATTGGCTAAAAAATAATTCAAAGGGTGAAGCCAGACTCTCAGTGTGGTGGTATCTGGAGGCAGGGCCTTTGGGAGGTATGGGATAATGACTCTGGGACCCTCCTGAACAGGATTAGGGACCTTACCAAAGAGACCCCCAAAGATCTCCCTCCCCTCTTCTACCCCGTGAATATGCAATGAGAAAGTTCTGCCTGGAAACTAGAATAGGCCCTCAGCGGACCCTGAATCTGCTGGTGCTTTGATCTTGAACTTCTAGAACTGGGAGAAATAAATTGCTTTTGTTGATAAGCCACTGGGTCTCTGGCATTCTGTTACAGCAACCAAATGGACTGGATGCACAGCCTTGAGCCTGGCACGTGATAAGAGCTCCAGGTTCTGATTATTATCGACAGGGTCATAGAATCTTAGAGTTAAAAGTGACCACAGAGATCTAGTGTGTCCAGTTTCCATGTAGTGAAGTCTGGCACAAAAGGAATCAATGAAGGAAGAAGAGCCTGGGTGACTTCCCTGAGAAGTGTCCCCTCTCCCCTATGGGGAGAAGCCCCCTGGCATTGCCCGGGCATGGAAAAGGTGCATTAGCCATGGAGGGATTTTGCAAATCTAAACCTCAAGCTCTACATTCTGCACGTACTGACCCTTTGCAGAGCTCACAGTTGGTCTGGTTGTCTGTAGGTCCCCACAGGCTCCCCTGAGGACAGCAGAGGAGCACTCTCCCTCCCCTTGCCCTGGTGTTTAATCAAAACTGTATTCAAAAATATGATTCTGGGAGATTATATTGGGAGATTTGCAGGAAGCTCTCAGTGGGGACAGAGATAGTGGCAACAGATTGTGGCTGGGGGTCTGAGGCTGGGATAATCACAGGCTCAGACAGGCCATTCTCAGGCTCTTTGCCTGGACCCCTGGAGCTCACCCTCCGTTCTGGAGGAGACTTGGAGCACGGGGTGGAGACCTAGATTATCTCAGTATTGCCAAGCTGGGGAAGGAAGAGGGGAGGGGGCTTGTCCAAGCTGCATAACAAGGTAGAAATGCAACAGAGAAGGTAAAGCAGGTCTTGGGGACTCCAGACCACCCTCTTCAGCCTTTCTCATACCCCACTGTCTCCAGCCAGTTAGGGGCAGGTCTTGGGAACAATTCTAGGCTGCTCTGGCTTGGGAAAGAGAGGAGCGGTCTCTGAGTCAAGAGATGGTTCCTGGAGCCAGAGAAACAGCTCCCTGGGGGTCTGGGGGCCAAGGTAGGGCAGCCCAGAGGTACCTCCTGTCCAGGTTCACTGTGGGTGCATAAGGCTGAATGGCTGCAGAAGAGGGAGGCAAGGTCCCCCCACCAACCGACCTCTGCATTCTAGCCCCTGCTAAGCCACATGACCTTCAGTGTAGGCCACTCCCCTCCCCAATCTGTCCCATCCAGCTCTGACTCTATGTGATGCTAAGGGACTCTCTCCCCTCCACCAACCGCTAGCTGGCCCATCCAGGGTCTACCTGGCCCCCCAGGAGGGGGTGGGGTCGAGAGCGCCTTGAAAGAAACCTCCAGTTAAAGCTCTTTATTACAAGCGTTAATCCCGCAAAGCCGACTGGAAATAATGTTTATCTTTTCGCAGTTTAATTTTCCGGACCCTAAGCCGCGGGTCAGCGAGGGCGACTGGAGTGTCCCCGGGGAGGCTGGGGATGGGACCAGCTGTTGCCCAGGAGCAAAAAAGAAGCAGGGAGGGGGGTCTCCCGGAGGGTGGGCGAGCAGAAACCCGAAAAGGCGCCCAGAGTAGAAAGCTAAGGGTGTTTCCACCAGGGACACGCACGACCCTGAGCCGGTCACCTGCTCCCCATGGGGCCTCAGTTGCCTCATCTGAAAAAGAGGTTTGCGTTTCTGTGATTCCTTAAGGACCCTTCCCACTCCGAGGGGGTCTTTTCTATAGAGAAGAAGAAGGGGTGGGGCCAGGGAGGGTCTGGGGACGACTCAGGTCAGTCTGCCCTCTGTTTCCTGCTCCCAACCTCCCCCTCCACAGCTCCGCTGTGGCGATTCTTCTGGCTTCAGTGACATCGGAGCTGATCTGGAAGACTGTCACCTAGCCCAGGCAGGGGCCCGGAGTGGGAGAGAAGGGTCCTGGAGGGATCCAGCCCAGCCCCTGGAGGCACACCCGGCTGGCTGCCTTGCCTCCAGCCCCTCTGGTCTCCACCACTCCCTGAGCTTCCCTCTGGGACGCTGCCCTGTCCCTCCCCTGCTGCAGCAGTGCGTCTTCCGGCCAGCTAAATCCCACCCCTCTGGACCCCAGGTGTGAACTGGGGCAGCCTTATCCAGCCTGCACCGCGCGGGCACCTTGGCATCTCTCACATTCAACTCCCCCCATGAATCTGCAACCCCAGGAGGAACTTGGGACAAATGCTGCTCCTAAATATCCTGATGTCTACCCGCTCCCCTTGCCACCTCCCACACCCGCCCACCAAGGGGGGCCTCAGCCTGGCTCAGTGGCTTGGTGGAAAAACTTTGGGTCTGCTACACCCCAGGCGCCCTGGGTGCCACTGCGGGTTGCCTAGTCCATTTCGCCCCTTGCTGTCCTGTCCCCAGAGCTCCTGGCTGTGACCCACCCCTCCCTCCATCCTGACCTTTCTAGGCACCCCTGGCACAGATAGGCTGCACAGCTTAGGTTCAGCTTGATTATTTTTAAGGACACAAGGAGAGGGGAAGGGGAGAAGACGCATGTGGTCCTTAGGGGCCAGCTCAGCCATAAAGCTACAAAGTGAGTGAGCGGGGTGAGGGGCAGGAGTGAGCAGGAGAATGCACCGTCCAGGCCCTGCATCCAGAGAAGGAAGGCAGACTCCCTGGCTTCCCCCGCCTTCCTCAAGGTGCCCAGACACCTCCTCCTCCGCCGGATCTGGGTAGGTGTAGATCTGTCCTGCCACCAGCTCTGCGTGCAAGGTCGGCTGCTACAGGAAGGTTTCTGTGTGTTTGTCTCTTAGGCAAAGTGGGAGCTCCTGGTCCCTGTCAAGATCTGGCAGTTTCTTAGAGCAGAGGTGAGTTCAAAAAGTGGGCCCATGTCCAAGATTCTTCTGCAAATCGCAGCCATTGCGCTAACCTGCTGAGAAAGGAAAGGTTGATTAAAACCCAAAGACCACTTGGTGATGATTCTTAGGAAATCCGAGGTCAGCTGTGTCTGGTCCACAGAGATGCACAAGTCTAGAGGCAATATGCTTGCCAGAGGTATTGCTTGGACTCTCCATGTATATATTCAAATAACAATGTAACCCAAGTTTCTAAACCAGTGGCTAATCCTGGGAGAAATTACTATGAAGAGCAGACTCTGACACAGTCATTGCTAAAAGTTGCCTAGTGCTGGGGAATGTCCCTTCGTGGGGTGAAATTCCCTTCCACCAGGTCCTTAGCACACAGAATAAACCAACCAGAAATGGGCAACACCAATTGGCAGTCTAACTCTGCTTGGGAATAGACTTTGCTGGTGAGTGCTCTCCAGGGACAGCACCAATCTCAGTTAAGGAATGCAGGGGCATGTCCATATCCTTAGGGATTTTAGTGGCCACTGAGAGGGCTGCAGCTGTACTTAAGCAGTGACCTTAAACCTATAGAATGTCTCTGGCCCACCTTTTCAGAAGTCTCAGAAATCTCTGGTGCCTGTCCAGCCCTGGGTACCAGCACAACAGGAGACCAGCTGATAGCCACTTGTGCTAGACAAGTGTGACAAAGCACACCTAGTGCATTTGGAAGAACCCTGGACCATGAATTCACAGGTTGTCCAACATTCCAGAATTTCTATATGGATCCCAGGTCAATTTCTCTTATTACTATTATCTGGCTTTATAATGAAAGACTAGAACTTTCATCTCGAAGCATCCATTTGAAGGGGGAGCTGTGGGGCAATCTCCTGCCAAATCTGAACCTGAGCTTGGCTGGGCAGGGTGGTGGGTGGGTGTCTTTTGGGCAGGCGCTCCCAGCGCCTTTGGGGACCCACTACCTTCTGCTCCGGAAGGGTACTGGCACTGCACTGAAGGCTCCTTCCGCCTCGGGCAGGGCGCACAGTTCAGCGGCAGCCCCTGAAGGGTAAACGTGGAGTTTCCAAAGGCTTTGGCTATGAGGGAAGATTCTTCGCAAGTGGGTCGCCGGGCGGAGCCTAGAGACTGTCCGGGAATCATATGGCACTCAGGACTCTGTGGCCTGGGCCGCGTTGAGGATGCACCTTCCACCGCGCTGGCTGCGGCGGTGTGCGCCAAAGACCAGATGCGCGGTTTCTCTGCGCATGGGTAGTGCATGATCATCGTGGGGCCCCCGGGCTCCGCCGCAATGAAGTCAGCTTCTCCCGACCCGCGGGGCTCACTGAAGGAGAAGCGGGGCGCCGCCAGGCCGCACTCCCTGCTCTCTACCCGGCCCTGCCGAGCTGCTGCGCAGGTCGCGGTCAGCGACTGCGCGCCTTTCTGGAAGCCCGCCAGCCTGTCCACCGCAGTAACCACGGCCTCCTCCTCTTCGGCTTCCTCCTCCTCCTCCTCTTCCTCCAGGTCTTCCAGGTCACTCAGAGGGAGACCCTGCGCCTCCTGGCTAGCAGTAACGTCTGCAGGAAATCAAATCAAGAGCAAGTGAGAAAAGCCCAGGGCCCAGGGGAAATCCGTGGGAGTGCCCATCCCGGAGAAGCTTTTAGCGAGACGCACGCACCCCGCACTCAGGGTGTTCTCTGTAATGCACCCCCCGCCTGCTAAGCCAGCCCTCACCCTGCCCCCGGGCTGCTCGTCCGCCCAAGGGAAAGAATTCTTGCTCCAGGCTTGTCCCCACCCACCGCCCCTTGGAAGACTCGCCCTCCCTGAGAAGCCAAGGAAAAGCCACGCGAGTCTGGATCTCAATAGTAAAAAGAAGGCAAAGGACTCTTTTCATCCAACTTTAGCATCCACAGGTGGCTGCCGTTACATTATTTAATTCAGCGAATGTTTGCTGAGTGCCAACTATGTGCCAGGCCTCATCTAGGTGTTGGGTATTTAGGGGACCCAGTGGTAAGGCCTCTTCTGGTAGAGTTGGCTTTCTAGAGGGGTGTTGAGTGTGTGCATGTTGTTACAGTGATAAATGGCCAAAGAAAAAAAGCAGGCTGATGTGATAGAGCATAACTGGGAAGCTACACGGTGGCTTGGATGCGGAGGTAACGCTTTGGTGGTGGTGGTGGGGGGGGCTTGACAGTTTGAAGTAGAGACGCAGCTGTTTCTGCAGCGAATTCCAGGCAGACTGATGTGTATGGGCAAAGGCCCTGGGGTGAGTGCAGGGGATGAATGCCTTCAAAGAAAATCTGCCCCACAGGCGACTTTCAGTCAAACTGCTGGATGGCTTGTGAAATCTAGCAGGTGGCTGATGGGCATTTGGGTACCTTTGGGGTCACTGTTTAGGCAGCCCAGTGACTCCTCTGCTCTGGCCTCTGCCTTCCTTTCCTCCCCGCCTTTGTTCTTGGGCGCCCAAGTCATCTTGTTCTCCTTCTTGAGGCGCCGGCGCGCGTTGGCGAACCAGGTGGACACCTGGGTGAGGGTCATCTTGGTGATGATGGCCAGCATGATCTTCTCGCCCTTGGTGGGGTAGGGGTTCTTGCGGTGCTCGTTGAGCCAGGCCTTGAGCGTGCTGGTGGTCTCCCGGGTGGCGTTCTTTCTGCGTCCAGCACCGCCCAGCTCTACCCCACCGAACCTGCAGGGAGAGCCCAGCTCAGTCTCTAGCCTGGGAACAAGGGGCTTCGGACAGGGGGCATGGGTCACCTGGAAGTGTGATTCTGCCCCTCCCTTTCCCTTCTTCCTCCCACCCCACCTCCCTTTCTGGCAGGAGGGAGCCAGCCATTGGCCCATCCTCACCGGTCATACTGGTACTGCCCCAGAGTCGGCTCGTAGGGATAATAGGCTCCTGGTTGGGCCAAGCTGGGCGTAAAATTCCCCGCAGCCTCCTTAAATTCATACTGTGGATTCTGGTGGGAAAGGAAAAGAGAATGGAGGACTCAGTGTGGGGAGAGGCAGGCAGCTGAGGTCAAGGACTCCGGTTCAGCCCCACCATGTGCATGGCTGTGCAACCTTGGACACAGTGTTTAACCACTCTCTGCCTCCGTTTCTCCCTGGTGAAACGGAAATGGTGATACCAGTACCTAGAGGTTGCAGGAGAAGACCATGTTGGTAAATGGCTAGGCAGGCTCCCCCGTTAAATACTAGTGGCTGTTCTTACTGCCCTTACACACCAGTGGGGCTGCTTCCCAACTTTAGTCTTCTTCCAGAGCTATTTCTGACCCTCTTCACCTTTGTGACTTCAATCTTAACTTCCTCATCTGTAAGTGGAGAATATGGATGGCTTACCTAGGTCACAAATATAATAGAACTACCAATGCTTTCTGAAGAGTACGTAAACCATCTGTAAATTCTGAAGTGCTCTGAAGGTATATTTTCCCCTTATACACAATCCTAACCATTTCCCTTCCTTAGGGCTCTGTGCCCCTCCTAGATTTTCCCTGGAGAGGTCACTCTGGATTTCACCTGTCTCTGCTGTGCATGCCCCCAGTGCCTGCATGTCCTAGCAAGGTAGACCCAGTTCCCACTCGACTCACCAGTGCCCCATACAGTGGGGGTGGCTCCGGTCCATAGGGCAGGTAGCCAGGGTAGCTCTGGGCAGCAGCATACGGGGCCCCGTAGATGCCCAAGGCAGCACCCAGCTCAGGCCGGGTGCTGCCCAGCAGCCGGCTGTCATAAGGTGTGCAGCAAAGAGCCGGGGCTGGGGTGGAGCTGGAGGCCACCTCTGAGACTGAACGTGGAGCAGCTTCGCAGCAAGTGGAGCTGGAACTTGCAGATACCAGGAACTACAAGAATGAGAAAGAGGTCACTGGAGGTCAGAGACCCCCCCCCCCAACTCCCTGGAGCCAGAGGGAAGCAGGGAATTGCCAGGTCACTCCTTCCTTCCACTTTAACTAAATGCCCCCGTTCTGCTAGCTACTGGGACAGGAATTTCCCAGGGGCAACTCATTCAAACTCCTCTTATAGATGTCCCTATGCCATTTCTATGGTTCCAGTCCCAGGGGACTGGGGAAATGTGAAGGTCAGAAACCTCATTTAGAGACCAAACCTCTGCTCCCACTCCCATCTCTGCAAAGATAGAGCTAGAAGTTAGCCTTAGAGACCATCTCAACCTATCACCCCCACTCCTGTTTTATAGATAGGGAATGGAGGACCAAAGAGAGTAATAGACTTGTCCAAGATCACACAGCAGGTCAAAGGTCAAGCTGGTACCAAATCTCAGGAAAGTATTCCAGGCACTCTGGGGAGAAACTGAGTAACAGTGGTGGGATTTTTCCCATGAGGCTCTTGTCGCTCTGCAACATGCCCTCTCCTCCCCCACCACATTTGGTTTGGAAAATTGAGGGATCCAGAGGCAGAAAACTTGGATCAGCCCAAGGAAAGAGCAGGATAAGAATAGAGGTCAACAAATGAGCAACAATATGGCGAGATGGGCAGTGCTCTGTACTGGAAGTCCTCTCCCCCCCCCCCCCATGAGCGTCCTCCGGCCACCTCACACATCTGTAAAGAAAGGAGGCCTGACTGGAAGATCTCTGAGAACCCACCCACCTCGCTGAGCGCGTGGTCGGGGTGCCCACGTTTCCACGGTCACACGGTTTTCAGCATGCACTTGGGAACGGAACGTTCTCAGTCAGGGACTGGGGTGTCAGAGGAAGCTGTGATACACTACCCGGGCCTTGCTCCCTCTGTCTTCCCCCGGGACACCGAGAGGAGAGAGCTCAGGGGTAGGCGCGCACCAGGCGGTCACCCCCTCCACCCAGGCTGCCCCCCATTCCCCATGAAGGCACTTCTTACCTGGGAAGCGCCGCCGTATGGGTGTCCGAAGTGCGGGAAGGACATAGTGGCTGTCCCTGTCCTGTCTCCCTCTTCCCTTAGGAGTTCCCCTCTCAGCCCCACGGTTCGGTGCCCCTAGCCTTGTGGCGTCTGGTTTCCTTACACCGCTGCGAGTGCCCAGCGCCGGTTCCTTCGCCCGCTTGGAGCGACTGGAGGCAGAGCCGAGGGCAGCCCAGCTGCCGAGCCCTGCGCTCCGGAAGGCGCCCCTCCAGCCCGTAGGGTCCAGAAGACAGAAGGGCCCATGGATGGGCAGGGGAGGGAAGAAGGCGCAGGTTCCCAAGGGCGCTCGGTGGCGAGGTGAGGCGCGGCGCGGCGCCGGGCTGTGAGGCTCCCGAGGTGTCCCAGTCCTGGGTGGCCAGAGGCTCAATGTGACGTCACGGTAATCCCGGGCTGCCAGACCGGACCCCGGGCCCCGGGGCCCCGGGCCACCAGGCGTACTAAACGCAGCCAGCCCGTGCGCGCGCGCGCACGCACTCTCACCCACGCTCACTCTTGCTCCGGGAGATTTGTGCAGTCTGCGAGGAACGTCAAAGACCCTGACCCTCTCTGCTCGGCGCTAGATCCTACCCCTTTTTGCCGCAAGCTCACGCGCGCGCACACACACAGAGAATCTCTCCAAATTACCCGGGAGAAGTAGGAGAAACGCCTCCCTCTGCGCCGCGCAGGCCCCGGGCGCAGCGCGCACACCTCCTCCCCTGCGGCCCGGAGGAGGCGAGAGGCAACCGGGGCGGCGAGGGAGGAGAGAATACAAAAGAAGAGACAAGAGAAAAGTGGGGGAGAGAGGCAAGAGGGAGGAGGAGGAGGGGAGAGGAGAGGGAAGAGGAGTCTGAGTGAACAGAGGCGCGCGGGGAGGGGAGGGAGCTGGGGTGGGTGAAGGCTGGGCGGAGGCTGAGCACCGGCAGGTGGAGGAGAGCCCAGGCTCGGGGGAGAAGCCCCCAGCCCGGCTCCTCCGCCTCTCCGCTGCAGGAAAGTTTGTTGCACCACCAGCCCCGCGCTCATGGAAGCGGATCCGGGCAGCGTTGGTGGACCCCATGGGACCGCACATCCTTGTCCTGGGGATCCGGCTCCCTCCTCAGTCTCCCCTGGACTCTGGCTAATTCCGCTTTGCCAGAGCCCCGACCCTGGGGCTTCTTTGCCGCCGCTTGACCCTCGAATACGCCGAATAGTGCCCCCTCCAGGTCAAAGTTCTGGTCCCTGTCGGTTTCCGCCTGGAAAAGCGCTAAGTCTGACCCTTGGCAACTGCGGACTGGGGCCCGTGGCGCTAGGCAAATCCTCCTCGGACGGAGAGGCTTGGTTGCCTGGCACATTCCGCCCGCTGGGTCCGCGGGGGATCCGAGAAGCAGGAGGAAGGCGTCGGGGCCGGGCTGCAGCCGCTGAGCTCCGCTGGGGGTGGCGCTGGCGAGCCGCAGTGGAGAGCTCCGGGCGGGAGGCCTATTCCCTGCGCTCCGCCCGGACGCTGGGCTGGGCCAGCAGTGTAACCCGGGCTCCCCTCCCAGGGGTCCTCGTCAAAGGACACTGAGGGGCCTGGTGGAGGTGGATGTGCGCTGGTGCCGGGAAGGGGGCTTCGTCCGCCAGGGCTGGCCCCGGCACAGGGGCGGCCAATTTCAATCATCGGTTTGCACCTCTGATGTCTCAGACCCCAGACTCCGAGACGCCTTTCAGAGGGCTCTAACCCACGGCATCTAGGAGCGAAAAGGGACCGTCAATCTGGCGAGGGAAGGCCTTAGTCGTTGCGGGATCAGGTGGAGTTTGCAAGCCCAGAAACCTCAGAAAGCTTCCCCTTTCTCTCCAGCGGGTCACCGCGCCCTTTACACTTTTTACAACGCTCTCCCTCTCTGCAGCTCCCCCGAGGAGTCGTGGGGGTTGGTTCAAAGGCTCAGTTTTATTTTCTAATTGAAACCCAAGACCGTGTGGCCCAGAGGATAGGAGCCGAGCTGGGTTCCTGCCAGGTGGAGGAAGGCCAGTAGCAGGCAGGTCTGGGTCCCTGGCCGGGAAATCTGTCACCGCTAACTTGCCTCTGGCACCTTGCAGAAGGGACTGGTAGGCCCCAGGGCCAGTGACCTCCTTAGAATGACAGCTCTGGCTACACAGCTCCACTCTTTTCTTCCCCAGATTCTGCAGAACTCTCAAGGAGCTTAAAGAACCCACAAACCGCAGACGACTCTAAGAGATTATTAACACGAGAACAAGCGCCATTCTAAATACTGACAAACCCAGCCGCGACTGTGGAATGCTGTTACCTTGGAGAAACCTTGCTTTCAACCCCGGGGAAACTCCTAGTTAGAAAAAGAATTATTATAGTCATGGGTAGACTGACTTAGCGATAAAAATCACAGTGATAAATAGATCCCTTGATTTTTCAAAATGCACTTTGGAGTCACCCACCCACCCGGTTTGCAGTTTGGATACATCTAAGCTTTTTCTTTTTCTTTTTTTTTTTTTTAAGTAAGTATTAAAGAGTATTCATTAAATTAGTCTCTTGGGGAAGATTACTACTAATTAATTAATTGCAAACATTTCCAGAGGGAAGATATGTCAATTGGAAAGTAATAAAATTAGATAGTCGAAATACTTACTCAGCAACTTTTATTGCCCATTCGTTCCTAAGCAGATTTTTTTTTTTTTTTTATGACAGGAAAATGGGGATGGTGGGGGAGAAAAAGCATTAGCCCTGTCCCTTGGCAATATGGTTGCAAAGCAGAGACTACCATATAGGATTTATTGATTTTCAGCTGATTTATAAGACCTCTGTGGTATCAATGCTGTGTGCAAGACTCCCCTTGTGTGCAAGGCTTACCCCTTGTCTTTGCTTTAGGATTAGAGAAAGGCAAGAAGATTTTTTTTTTTTGGAAGAAAAGAAGACAAAAAACTGTGGCAAAATAAATTGGGAGTACAACTATGAGGAGATGTCAGCATTTTTTTTTCTTCTGTGGAAATGGAAAAAAAAGAGCATGTTTTATGTGAAGGTACCTCATCTATTGTCTTCAAAGTTGCTTTATGGTTTTGGCATCTTCTATCATAATGTCTTCCAAGGAGAAAGCCCTGCCCTGTCCGCCCCCCCCCCCCCCATGTTTCTGCCTTTAGGGAGACCCGGATTTAATATGTCCTTCCCAGGCAGAGGCTGCACACACAGTAAAGCTCCCTTGTATTGATGACATTTGATTGTTACCATCTTGAGTATTTAGTGGGATTTCCTAAAAAAATGGTTATTATGAGATGTGTCTAGAATTCCTGTTATCTTGGGACCTGCATAACAAAAGCCAAGCCAGTAGGTTAAGCCAACATCAACCTGTGTGTGGCAGAAACCTCAGGTGTAAAGGAGTCTGATTCAGGAACAGTGCTGTGTGGAATTGGTTTTTCTTCCGTCTCCCTGTCTCTTCCCAGGCCCTTACCTCTGTAGCCCCGTGCTCGGGGCTTCTCTCTCATGGTGGATTTTCATTGCTTTGTTCAGGTGCTGATTAATTTAGTTTCCGGGGGAAAATCCCCAATTGTATAGGTGTGCACACAGAATTTTATTGAAGCAAGTAAATAAACCTATCAAATACAGACACACACACACACACACACCCAGTTCTATTTAAGGGAGTCATCCCACTGAACGTATTTTGAACAAATGATATAGATTCTTTTGTTGTTTTGTGCAACATGTCTGATAGGTTCTCTAGCTGCTCATTAAAACTAATAGGAAACAAAGCAAACAAAGGCCTACCTGGACCACAGAGAGTACTGATCCACATTGTTTATTTGAAGTTCATATTGCTTTGTGGTAAATGCACTGAAGTTCCTGAGCAGCAGAGTTAAGGATGTGTGTTTGACAATGAGTTTGAAGGCAGGTACTTCCCAAAAAAAAAAAAAAAAAAAAGGAAAAATACATCATATTGCATTTTTGGTGGTGGGGGGGTTGTTTAAAATGTTCACGATTTCCAAAGACAACAGATTTTACAGAAGGGAAAATAGCAAACTGGAAATGTCTCGGATCACAGCTGAAATGAGTGAGTAGATGGGCATAATAACATAGTTGAAAATGTGCTAAGTTATATTTTTTAAGTATGGAAATTTTTTTAACCGACTGTTTTTGAACTGGGAAGAATGAATTTTCCTCAAATCTATGCATGAATGAACAAGTGCATCTGGACAGATGCATCCATAATTTATACTGATCAGTCACCGCAGGTCTCCCCAAGTAAAGCCGAAATGAACACTAATTGTTTTGACGGAAGTGGTGTGCATGGCATCTGATTGTGAGATGCAGCAGTCCCTGCTTTGCCTGAGTACATATTGTCAACAGCTACTCTGGCATCAGGAGGGGAAAATAAAAAGGCAATAATTCCCAGATGAGGGTGTTGATGTTGCTTGTCAGCAAGGTGGCAAATAGCAAGAAAGAATTAGCTTCTTTGAGATAAAGTCTACAATGAGGCTGTATGCAGAGAACCAGGCTTGTCAGCGTTGCACCTGAGCTCAGAGCGAAAAATGAATAGCTTGTTCATAATGGCAAAATTCCATTGCATTGTATCAAGTCTGGGTAGCTTTCCTAAACTCCTCGGCTTTATCTGATTAAAGGTTCAGGATAAGAATATTGGGGAGGTGAGAAGCAAGACCAGGATCATCATGGAGCCAAGCAGCAGGTGACAGAGAAAGGACCAGATTCCAGATCTCCTGGCTGGCGGGGAGGGGGGGGGGTCTTTCTCCAAGACCATATTTCAAGCACATACCCAGCCAGCCACAGCCAGGAGGTGTGGCGAGCTCTGAGGGAATGGTGTGAATTCACATTTAGTGCCTCATGAGGACACTGGGTCGTTTAGCAGAGAAAATATCTGAAGAGACGCCGTTGTGAGGAAATGAGTGCAGAGTCCCTTCTGCATGCTTTCCTATCAATCTGTATTATGAAAGAGCTTATGTAATAATTTGGGGGGTTTTAGAAATTTGATGTAGATCATTCATTCAAATGGCACATAGCAAGCAGCTCCAGTTGTGACTGGTAAGTCGATCAAAAATAAAAACAGCAACCCCCTCCCCGCAAAATAAATAAATAAATAAATAAAAACAACAAAAAACCTCTTTGAAAAAAAAAATCCAGCTGCGATATTGGCTGTATAGCTACACAGACTTAAAAAAATGTAGTAGGTTTTGGACTGATTATTTTCAGGAAGAACTCTTTTTAAAAACCTTTTGTTTTTCTTATCTTTCTTTCTTTGCATCGGTGTGTATGGCGGGGTGTTGCTGCCTGAACTTCTCAATTTCAGAGCAGTTTTTCTGCGTAGCAATTCTGGATTATTTTTATCTTGGGAATGATGGCATCTTATTAATGATAAGCTCAAGGCATCTGATGTGTTTTCAAGGAATTTGAGGCTTTAAAGTAAACAACAGATGTGTAGATTTGAAAACCAGGAAACCAGTTTGGAAGCCAAAGTTGTTGAGAGAGAAATGTTGATAAGCAATAAAGACCTTAACAGGTTAGCATGTAGGGACTCATGGAGAGAAGACGCCCACATTCTTCTTCCCCTTGGTGACAGGTCCTGGGATCTTGAATGTACACTTAGGGAGCAGAATCATGGCCCAGACAAATGAGAAAGAGAAACACAGCACTGTTAGCTCCAACTAAGTAGGGATGGGGTGTTTTGCATATAAACCTCTCCCTGAAGCTAACAAGCAGTTTAAAAAGATTCACGTCTTTTTTTTTTATTTTTTATTTTTACTTTTTGGTACTAAGAATTGAACTCAGGGGCACTTGGCCACTGAGCCACATCCCCAGCCCTATTTTGTTTTTTATTTAGAGACAGGGTCTCACTGAGTTGTCCAGTGCCTCGCTGTTGCTGAGTCTGGCTTTGAACTTGAAATCCTCCTGCCTCAGCCTCCTGAGCTGCTGGGATTACAGGCATGTGCCACCGTGCCCGGCTGTT